AGGGAAATGAGGCATGGTTTAATTACTGTAATTGGCTTTAAAGTTTTGATTTGAACTCTGTTGTAAAATATTTTCTGTGCCAGCACTGACTCTGTATACTGGAAGCTACTGGAAGGAAGTTTAATGCCAGGGGCTACTGAGTGGGAAATGGATTAATAAGTGTTCGGGATTCCTTTGTAAACTTCTAGTATAATGTGGATAGCTGTGAAGTAGTCAGCATGTCATATTAATGCATCGTTCATAGTTCTTTTTCCAGCAAACTATTTGGTTTATATTTAGTTCTAACTCAAATTAGTCAGAATTGGTGCTTGGTTTTGAACCATGCATTAATTTATATTACTGTGCTTAATATATAATCCATGTCAGTTACATATTATTTCATTAGCAGCACTAGTATTAGAGCAAATTTCCCTTTATTTATGTAATTAATACAGCTATATATGAAAGTTACTGAGTTTCTGTAAAATCAAGTATTTTTTTCCTTATGCAAGGAATGATATTGAAATCTTCGAATAGGGGGTTAAAGAGGCAAGAAAGGAGTAAGGAATTCCATTTGGACAGCTGAAATTGGGAAAAATTTTATGGAAAATCGGGATAGTAGTAGAGAATGAACACATTGCCATTATTTTAGGCCTGGAAATATTTCACAGATCTCATTAGCATGTACCAGACACAATTTGTGTTGGTTTGATTAATTCTGTTGGACTGTTGATCCATCTTCCACAAAACACCACCATGCTGCTTCTCCTTCCACTCGTTTTGTTGCTTTTTGAAAGTCTTATTCTCTGCCTTCCTGAAATGGCTGACGTGTACATATTGAAGTGATACAGACATCTTCCCTAACTAGCTAGTTCCTACTATCAGTCAGGCAAGATTTAAGAATCTAAAGTTTCAAGAAATCTCATGGAAACAAATCAGAAAGTACTAGACCCTTAATAATGGGTCTGTAAGATTCATGACAGATACTCACAGAGAGTTACTCAGCCTCTGATTTCTTCTATATTTTAGCTTCTCTTACCTTTGCACTTTCTGTTCCTGCCAAAATTCCCACCGTTTTCTCTTGGTCCTAACTCCCTACACTAACCCCAGTTAGGTCAGAAACTCTTATTATATGCTTATATAAAAACCAGCTTTTTTTCCCTTCAGAGCACTTACATTAGTTTGTAAATACCTACTTCAGTGATATTTTATAAATGTATTGAACCTACTTAGCTCACTTTAAGAAGCTAATTATTCTAGTGGTTCTATGTAGCATGAGGAAATGCAAAAGGCAACAGGAAAAATCAGAAGATGAAGTGAAAAAGATCTTAAAAATTAAACTAAGTATTTATTTTGCACAGGCACCTTTCTGTCCTAGTTCTCTGAAACGTGTGTAATTTTTCAATGAACTGGTAGAGGTGTTACATATATTTTTCCCCCTAGGGCTCCAGAATTTTAAAGTAGTTTCTTTTCTCTTCACCCCCCTCCCCATTCCTCTCTATACATCTTTCCTTCACTCATACTATGTCAAAATTGTTACTAATAAAATATAAGACCCCACCACAGTCATGTATGCAACAAACTCATAAAGGTATTAGAACTTCAGTGGTGGTAGAGAACTTAGAAATAGTCTAGCCCAACTCCTACTTTTATAGATGAAGAAAATGGAGGCTAATCAAAGTCACATGACTTAACAGTGATATATTGAATTAGCTAAAAAATCAATATGGAAACTCAGGTCTTCTGTCTTCCAATGAAGTCCTAGTTTCTCTTTCCTCCATTCGTTCTTTCCTGGGGCTATAAATATAACAAGAGAATATACTGAAAATATTTTCAATATATTAAACTTTGTTGCTCCTTAAATTAATTTCTAAAATTAAAATTTTCTTATTTTCTTTTATATGTGACAATGTATCTATGTATCTATTTGTAACTTGGTAATTGAACACTTTGAAATTACACCAAACTAAGAATTATTCAAGTTTTCACCAAATAACTAGACAGTTAGTTTCTGTTAATAATGAAAATCTATGAAGCATGTCAAAATTTGTTTATGATTAGTTGCTGATATAAAATGTGAGGGCAGACGACAGTGTACTTTACACAACACTGACTTTTGCATTTGCCCCAGAAAGCAGTCCCCAAGAGGGCTTCTTCAGATGATTCCTATAAGTTTTGCATATCATTAATTCTACTTGCTCTGCTTTTGGTAGAATGTCAGTGTATTGAACACTGTAAAAATTATGCCCTGTTATAAAAATAATCAGGCTCTGGTAACACATACAGGGAAAATGAGCATATCTTTCACTTTTGGAAATAATTGAGAAGTAATTATAAAGGTAGTAAAAAAAAATCCCTATTGACTATAACATGCTAATGCACCATTGGTTTTTAACATATTAGATAAAGGAAGGGTACTATAGAATCTCCATGTAAGTGTGAAATTAGTTGTAGGTATTTGCTGAAGGTCAGTTACCTACCTTCCTATAATAATTATTTGGTCCTGGACACTCCATTGTGTTTGCCATAATAGAGAAATAAAATACCATAAAAGCGTTCCTAAGTACACACTTTCCTAAAGGTGTTTGGGGTTTTATGCATCTCTAGCTCCACTTTTGAATCAGTCTCATTCTTTAATTCTGAAATTACTAATTTTAACCATTAGAACACAGGAAATTTTAAATAGATTTTGCTTTCATAACAAATCATCCTTTAAAAAATCCACCCACGTAGCTGAGAAAGGAAATATAAAAATGAGACAAAATGAATGTTATTAAATTTCTAAATTTATTTAACTTCCAGATCTTCTTGGAATAAAGGTCACGTAGTAGAATTTGTACAAACTTTGGTAATGTTTTAGACTTTGATACAGAAATTAACAGGCATAAAATTTAATTTTCTGTAATTCCCCAATGGAGCCAGAAGCAGGATTCAGAATATATTAATAGTAACTATATATTTTCTTGCATATATCCCTCAAAGTGAAATCCCTAACAGATTTAACAGTATATATTTCCTTGTGCTGTTGATAAAACACAGTAGCCAAACCTGTCTTCCAGGTGGCTTTGAAAACTTAACTTTTACATGTCATTAGTAAGTTACTATTTCAGTACCACCAGGTGGTAATTAATTTGAGAAATTTTTGATTTTACTTTATACCAAACAAAAAGCCTAAAAACCAATGTAAAATAGTACTGTGGAATTCACAATCACATTTTCTTGTTTTAATTTCCTTTAATATCAGGTTGTCATTAGGAGAGATTCCACAATTTCTTTAAATTAGGAATGAAGTAAAATGTTTCATATGTTTTTCAAAAAATTATCATTTTTCATGACTCAGTCTCATGCAACTAGCAAATTTAAACATCTTGGAACTTAAGAAATAGAGGACAAATTAAAGGAAATAATAAAAATCCTTTATAAAGGATTTTATAAATCAAATGGGAGATTTGAAATTATAAATTGACTTCTTTTATACAGAATGTTTCTTAGTAATTGTAAAGTAATATAAACTCTAAAAGTATTCTTGTAGCCAATAATGATTTGAGTGCTTAAATGATAACTAGAATTGTACTTTCTGTCTTTGTGGCTTAATTTGAAAATAAGGGTTCCATTATCTTTGTTCCAAAAGTTTTGGTTTTTATAGGTGTTTCTTTTGGGGGCTATTCTCCCATTGTTGACATTTTAAAATAGATTTAAAACAATCTGTTTATATTTATTAGATGTTAAAGAAAGAAAAGTCATGCTAGGAACTTATAAGGGAGACCATTGTGTATTTCTGTTTTGTTTGTTTTTTTTAAATTGGTTGTCTTCATATGTATCATTAATGATTTTGGAGGATAAGATGGTGCAGTGGGAAGAAAAACCAAAACTAAACTGCAAGCTTTGGAGCCAGATGAACTTACTTTACATATCCATGGAATGAATATCTTGCGACCTTTGGCAAGTTATTCAATATTTCTCTGCTTCGTTGTCCTTACCTGGGAAACAATACCTATCTCTCAGGTTTGTTTTAAGTGTTAAATGAATAAATATATTTTAAAGTATGCCTGGTACAAATTATGTGTAAATAAATGTATCTCTTCCCCAATAAGATAGGCTCTGATTCTGAACTAACCTTCCCTAGTAATACATTAATTTGAGGAATAGGAATTGATAGATAAGTAAAGATTTGTATATTTAGCTCAAAGGCATCACTTCCTGTAAGTCTCTACTCTCAAATTACTTCTTTTTTTAGTTCCCTCTTCTGTCTTTTAAATGTATACATATATAGTAGAATGGACATTTAGGATCATAAAACATGTATAAATCTTATGTTTAACTTTCTGTGATATAGGTATGCAGTATTTATAAATTGTTGGTATTGCTTATCAACAGTTATTAGAAGGAGTGAGAGAAGGGAAGCCCCTTTGAACTCTTAAGATTTCTCTGGAGTTAGTGGTACATCCATGAATATACCTTTTTAAACCAAGTTATCCACACCTTGAAGTTCAATCTCTACTGTTAATTCTTTATTAAAGTAATGAAGTATGAGTTGTTCCAATGATATAATGAATCAAGTAATACTGGCAATTAAATCCCAAAGCAGTGCACCTTTAGTTTGTTCAGCAGATATTAAGATACTCCACAAGCCTTCATCATATATTTTTATAGTTTTATACTCAATCTACTTTTTTAGCAACCCTTGGGAAATATCCCAAGATAATTTATGGGATAAGTGCATCTATCTTCTAAAAGACATTTGGAATATTTCATAGTTTGACCCCCTGAGACACTCTATAAAGAAACAATCAAAAGAATTTAACAAAGAAATAAATAGGTCAAGGATGAAAGCAATCTAGGGATTTGCACTGAGTTTGCCAGTGTCATAGCTTCCTTTAAGAGTTCTTCCTCATCTCTTTACTGAAGGACACGAGTTATTTTGTTATTTAAAGTCTTCCAATTAAATAAGACTGTTATGAAGAACAACTCAAAAGTACAAAGTATCACGAAATCTTTTCAAGTAGCAATTCATAGGGGGATTTCTGTATCTTATCGTTAATAGATGAAGCAAAATGTTACAGTTAACCGTTACAATTGCTCTCACTGCAATCAATCACTTCATCCTGTGCACTGTTAGACTCGGCGGCATCCAGAACTGGTGGGAATCTGTTCTCAGCGGAATAAAAGCCAGAGCCTGCACCTTTCCCATAGCTGCCCTGCAACATCGTGATCCAGGGATTTTAGGATATGAGGCAGATCAGCCGTCGCTTCCACGTCCTGTCTTCCCCTTCTGCTATCTGGTGGAGCTGAGTGCGAGTCCCCAGGGCTTCCAGAGAGTATCGTTTTACTGGTGACTTACTGAGCACCGAGCACCGCACAGGGAAGAAAGAGTAAAGCATTGGGCACCTACTGAAGCCCACCTCAACCATCATCTGTCTTGGCCCCAGTCTTCGGGTTTTCTCTTGCTCCCAGGGCCTAATGCCCGAAGAGTGGGTTCACTCGGAGCTCTCCTGCAGTCAGTGGGGGAGCATACCGAAGACCCCAACGCCTCCTCCCACTCCACCCCGGCTTCGTGCATCAGAAAACTCCGAAACCCTGCAACTTCACACACTCCTTAACATAGCCGGAAATCCATCTCTCTGCGTTTGGCTTCACGGTGAGTGTTGAGGGTTAGATCCAGATTAAGAAAAAACGTATATAAACTTGTTCCCGGTTGGCTCCTCCTTCCTCCAGAGAGCGGAGTCGCTCAGGAAGGCTTGCAGGCTTTCCGCCGCTCCACGTTTGTAGCCGTCATTGAACTAGGTGGGGGTGGGGAACTGGGGAGAAAAAAAGTGGTCGTGGGCGGCTGGGTGAACCCTCCGTCAGTCTCCCGCGGCCGCGCGCAGGTACCTTGCGACGTCGCTGTGGCCTCGCTCCTCGGCCAAGTCCACGGGCAGGCGGCCCCAGGCGTCGCGCACATCCAGCCGCGCCCCGGCCCGGTGCAGCGCCACCAATGTGTCCAAGAAGCCCTCCCGAGCGGCGTCGTGCACCGGTCGGGTGAGGGTGGCGGGGTCCGCGCAGTTGGGCTCTGCGCCGTGGAGCAGCAGCAGCTCGGCTACGCGGACGCTGCCCATCATCATGACCTGCAGGAGGGAGAAAGCACAGTGGTCAGGGCGAGGGTGCAGGCAGCAAGATGGCGGCGGCCCCGGCGGAGCGCGTAGAGGCCCTTAAACGAAATACCTATTTGTGAAGACCCAATGCAGAGGTGCACAAGCAGCCGGCGGCTGGGTTCTCTTCATTTGCTGACACAATCTGCCCCCCTCCCCCCGCCAAGTTACTGTACTCTTTACCCAGCACGAATTAAAATTTCATTTTATTCTCCAAACGTGCAGGGACAAGAACTAGCTGATGGTAAAGTGATTATAGTCATTGTAGGAAAAAAGTCCTTGATTTCCATTGGCATATGAGAATCTCTTTTGTTAAATAATTTATGGGGCGGAGTGAAGTTTAAGTGGCTTTTAAAGCTCTTTCTTCCTGCTTCCCCCCAATCTATAATCCAGGTCTAAAAATATTAATTAGGTAGTCAACTGATTTTTTTTTTAGAAGTGGGGAGTAATGCTTTAGGGGAAAAAATAAGCAACAAATAAGTTTCTTAAAAAGGTTTACTTTGTTTAGTTCTCCTAGGAGATCCCTTGTGGAAGGCTTTTGTTTTTCATTGTCATATGTGTCTGTGCTCATAAAAGGATTGTAGTCTGATGATTTGAGCCAAAATTGGAGATCAGAAGGGAAAAACTAAACCAAGTCACATGTAATCTTATAAAATGATGAAAATGAATGATTTGTTTTAAATAAATAGTTCACCAATTTTTATATTTTAAGTTAATGTTATATTAAAACATTTAATTTTACATATTACATTAACTATATTAATAGTGCAGTATATTTAATGTAATATGTAAAATTAACACTATATTGACATTGTACAGGATTCCATAATTACTAAGATTTTATGTTAAATAGCAAATATTTTCTATATAAAAAGAGCTTAGATGTTAGCAGTCAAGTCAGAATGGTGCTTAACTAAGTAAATCAGTGTTTTAGAGGAGTTATCCTATAGCAGCCATATGTGTACATGGACATCATGCGAGCATTTGCTTTTGTATTTTAAGTTAATGATAAAACAATTTTTGATAACTAATTTTTCAAAATGGAGTTATTTGTTCTTGTTGGTTTATGTGATTTAAAATGTACCATGTAATTTAAAGGCATTATACCTCTAGTGTTTTGTTTGTTTGTTTGTTTCATGAGTATTAGAAACGTTCATTTCCTCCCTTAAAAATCATGATAACCATAAGTTATCATTTCTACTAATGATGTAAAGGGTATTTTACATACACAAAAGAGGGGAAAAAAGTGGTTCGTAGTATTTCAGAAAATGGTGAATCAAAATTATAAGAAAATTTGTTTTCATAATAATAGAGTTTTGTCTTTAAATGCCACTTTACAATATTTTTGCTGCTTTAAAATATCCCTTGTTATACCACTTTTCTAATAATTCAAAAGGAATGAACACTTTTCTTAAAAATCTACACTGTTAACACGATACCTTAATATTAGCTTAGTTATGGAGGGTGATGATGAGGTGAATACTGAATATAACCATAATAGTAAACAGTAAAGTACAAAGCCATTATCTTAGATTTTAAAGGAATTTTAAAAATCAATACTAATTAAAGTGGGATTAGGATTAGTAGTTAAACATTTAACAAGCATATTTTAACAATGAAGAGACATTATTTATGAAGACCCTTTGCCATTCAAAGAGGACCTAACAGCATTGAGTATGATAATTAAACATAAAAAAAATCTATAGAAGCATTTTAAAAAATCTTATGCCTCACTCAAGGGACGCTGCTAAGATAAAATAAAAGGAATTAAGTACTGTGGTTGAGGAATTCCGTCGCATTCCTTTGAACTCAATTCGCCTCTATGAGAAAAGAATACAAAAGATCTCAAACAGCGGCTTAAAAGTTCACCTTGAAGTTTTTTCTTGGTACTGTGAGTTTGTAGAATTCCTTAAATCCAATCCAGATTGTGTAGATTTTAATTTACTTATCTTTATCGTTGAAAGTAGACAGACAAAATAGTCCTCCTCTCCAAATAACCTTTCCTTTCCCCCCTAATTGAATCTATTCTTTAAATCTCTGATCATGAGATGGCAGAAAAATATTTATATTTTCCCACCATTAAAAAGAAAACCAAACTGAAGCAGTAGGTTTTTCAATCTCTTTCTTTAAGATTTTTGATGAGTAAAAACCTGCTTTACGCCTGGGCTCCACACCTCCAGCAACAGAGGCTGCTGCGCAAGTTACGTCGGTGATCTCTGTCCCAGCCCCGACCCGCGGAGGCCGCGCCGGCGTTCGCGCGCCCCCTGCCGGCCGGGCTCAGGGGCCCCACCTACCTGGATCGCTCGCCTCCCGAAGCGGTTGACTCCGTTGGGATCCGCGCCCGCTTCCAGGAGCTGTTGCACCTTCTCCACTTGCCCCCGCGCCGCGGCGCTGGCCAGGCCCGCATCACTGCCGCCACCACTGAGCATGCCCTTGTTCTCCTCGCGCATTTCGCGGCCCCCAGGCACGGAGCGGCCCGGATAATCCACTGCTGGCCGTGAGCTCCGCGACCCTCCTCCCTCCTTCCGCACCCGGCTCCGGCGCACGCTCCCCTCTCCTGGAGGGCTCAGCTCAGCTTCAGTCCCCTCTCGCCGTCCTTCTGCGGCTTGGGGGCCCGTGCAGTGGCTGAGCGGCCCGTGGTTAGCTCTGGGCTTTTCCTGTCGCCCGAGAAGCAGACGACTCGCTTGGCTCGCTCCTGGGAAAAAGCGTCTCGCGCGGCCACAGCCAAGCGCAAAGCCGCTGAGTGCCGACGCGTCGCAGCGTCCTCCCTGCCCGGCCTCGCTCTGGCAGAGTCGGGAGCCAGCTGGGAAAGAATTCCGTTTTCAGCTGGCCTACCGACCCGGCTCTCCCCACCCCCTTATGCTCCGCCTCCTGTCGGCGGGCCGCAGCGGGCGCTGCCCACTGAACTTGCGGGGAGGCCAGGCCCGCAGCCGCTTCCGTCACAGACGACAGGGGGCGGGGGCGCCCGCCCAGAAGGTGCTGCGGCGCATGCGCCGGAGACTGGGCACCGGCGCTGGCCGGAACGCCCTCGGGGCTGCTCGCTGGGCGTCGGGCAAAGCCAGGGCTAAGATTTGGAAATGTTGACCCACTGCCCCCAGCTCCTAATCCCCAGCAGGCGGAGCAGAGGACTTCTGTTCCTTCAGCCTGGGCCAGCTGGAGACGTTAGTCGCTCCCTGTGTAATCAATCGAGTGGGTGAGTGAAAGGCACTGAAAATAACTCCGTGTCTGAAATGTGACAGGTCTGCTTCTGTCATGCGAGTAAAATTCATCCCCAGGCGGCGATCGAACTTCCCAACTTCCCATCTTGTATCAACCTTATCAATTTTCTTTTGCGTGTGTCTTCCTATTCGAATCAACCATAAAAATAGTGAAAAATCCTGAGAATCCTGTTTTATATGTGCTTTATTATTATTATTATTTTTAATTTTGAAAGGGTGGGGGTTGTGAAGAGGGGTGTTCAGTTGCCTTGTTTTTTTGTTGAGACAGAGTCTCACTCTGTCGCCCTGGGTAGAGTGCGGTGGCGTCATTGTAGCTCGCTGCAGCCTTCGACTCCTGGGCTCTAAGCGATCCTTCTTCTGCCTCAGCTTCCCCAGTAGTTGTGAGTACAGGCGCTCACCGCAATGCCCGGCTGGGTTTTTTTTCTTTCTTTTTGGTAGAGACGGGTCTCGCTCTTGCTCAGGCTAGTCTCAAACTCCTGAGCTCAAGCAATCCTCCCGCTTCGGCCTCTCAGAGTGCTAGGATTACAGGCTTGAACCACCGCGCCCGGCCTACAGGTGCTTTTTAATTCTTTTTTCATCTTTGAATTATGGATACAATCTTAAAACAAAACAAAAACAAAAACTAGGTTGAGACTGAGAGTGAAAATCTGGCACACATAAGACAAAAAATATATATTTTAAGAATCTGAGATCCCAGTTTCATATTTGTACAGTATATCTTTGTTTGCGCTTTTACCTATTTAAACCCACCTTGGCAAGTATTTGATTTTTGTTTATCATGAGTAATAAAGGAAAGTTATGCAGTAATAAAGAAACATAATAAAACAGAGGTGTGGTACTGGGCCTGTCATTAAACAGGCTGAACCTGTCATTAAATCCTCTTCTGAAGATTTGAAGGCCAAGTGCTTTTTTTTTTTTCTTTCTAATCTTCCTAGGTGAGTTTGAATCAACATATTTAGTGCTTTAAGGATTTAGAAAATTACAGCTGATGCTACATTAAATAGGAAGAGAACCACAAGTTGTGTATCTGTTGCCTAAAAACTTTGGTGAGGAACTACGTGAGAGTGAACCTGTTCTAACACTGAACAATTTTTATTTACAAAATCATTTTGGTTGAGAATGCTGAGGAAGACAACTCTTAAAATGAGGCCAATTGCTTGACTATTCAAAAATGAGAGACTCCACGTTTTTTTTTTTTTCTAGCATACTTTAGCTCTAACTCCCCCTCCCCCAAATCCCTGCAGAAGGAAGAAAAACTTTTTCCTTTAAAGACAGTGGGGCCCATGGAAGTGGTGGTTAGGGCTGAAGACATACTGACTGAGCCTCAGCAGTCCTAAAATCCAGCTAGACAAAGGAGAAAAGGAGACAGCATTAATAACAATTTCTTTTTCTTTCCCATCCCACCCCCGTTTCTTAGTTTTCAGTTTAATTCAATCTTATTTGAACTTCTACATTTATTTGGAAGAAATGTTGTTGTTTTAAAATTTGTTGATGGTCACTCAATTCTTAGGTTCAACTAGAAGAACAGAAGTCTACTTCTGGATGAAAAACTTTGACAAGCAGCTTTTATCTAGAGAACCAGTCCCCATGCACAGTGTATTGAGGATTACAGGTGTGTAGGTAAAATGGAAGGAGGACAGATGGGCAGTGGGAAGCTGGAGCTTTTGAAATAAATGACATTGGTTCTTTACCAGTCACCTTGAGAGGCTTAGTCACCAGACTCATGTTGGTGGATATGGTGGCAAATGGACTCATTACAGAATGTCTTCATCGGAAAAGCCTAGCTACTGTAATATCTGTCAAATGCAACAAGGAAAGTTGCTTTTTAAGGAACATTTTTGGGATCTTCTCTCTCATGGATCCAATAATTAAATTTAGTTTGACAAAACTTAACTCAGCATATCCTATATTCTAGAAATCCACAATTGAATAAAACATAGGCTCTCACTTTTAAGAAACTCTCTCTAGTGGCACTCTAATAAATACAGTTTCAATTTAATATGATAACTTTACTGAGAGATATATCTACAGGATACTTTGGGAGTAAGGAAGAGAGGGACTTAACTCAGGGTGGAGGTACAGGGAAAGTTTCTTAGAGAAGGTGCCAACTGAAGAATGTTTTAAAAGGATGCATCAGAAATGAACTGTTTCCTGTGTTCTTGTCTTGAACTTTGGATTTCTCTGAAACTTATCAAAAAGTTAGGAGAAAAGGCTGGGCACAGTGGCTCATACTTGTAATCCTAGTACTTTGGGAGGCTGAGGTGTAAGGAGACCAGCCTCAGCAATAGTGAGACCCTGTTGCTACAAAAAATAATAAAAAAAAAAAAACTAAGCTGGGCATGGTGGCACATGCCTGAAGTCCCAGCTACTTGGGAGGCTGAGGCTGGGGGATCGCTTGAGCCCAAGGGTTTGAGGTTGCAGTAAGCTATGATGACACCACTGCACTCTGGTCCAAGCAACAGAGATAGACCCTGTCTCAAAAAAAAAAAAAAAAAAAAAAGGTTAGGAAAAGAGTCTGATCTGATTTCTGAGCCACTTTCTTAGGTGGTAGGCATGGCCAACACATCTGAAAAAGAAAGACTGTTTGGATTTGATAAGGAAATGCAAGAGAATTGTTTTTCTTTGAAGAGGGCACAGATAAAGAGTGGTAAGATAGGGAAAAAGCCAATGAACAGAATGACTGAGAATCTTCCGCGAGACGGACATGTGAGCTTCGCTAAGCAGGTTGAATGGAGAATTTTACGCAGGGAAAAGGTTGCCAGAGGCATTCACGCTTACTAGCACCACGGACAGCGCTTCGCTAATACGCATGTCTGGGTGGTCCTAACCTGCTCCAGACTGAGAATTCTAAAATAAGCTTCGAACTTGATCTTCCAAAGTCTTTTTCTCTCCTAAAATAAAAAGGATCCCATGGAAACTCAATGAACTTCTTTGCAAAATTGAGTAGCTCAACCTACTTTCAAAATATTGGATTTTATCTAATATTTACTCTCTATAAAAAATATTAAATATTCTCTATATTTAAGAGAAGAGAAATCAAACTTATTGTCTACTCTGTCGTAAGTGCTTTACGACTATTATTTAATTTAGTGCTCATAAAACTTCTGTGTGGCATGCATCAATATCTCAGTTTTACAGACAAGACAAAAAGATCAGAGAAGTTAAGTAACTTGTATATTATCTAACCATTGTTGGAGGTGGGGTATAAACTGTGTGACTTCAGAGCCTCTACTCTTTACACTACATAGTGTTTTCATCAGGTGTCATGGTAGACTTAACAGGAAAAAAAATAAGCAATAAACTGGCTTATAATTATTTTCAGTCTACACTGTGTTTTCCAGATGGCTCACCTCACAGCACATCCTTAATAAACTTCAAAGATGACATTTCACACGTAATACAATAGCACATTTGTCTTGGACAATAGAGTGAGATAATGAAACATTTACCTCTGTCTGAAACCCAGCTGTCTCTAGGATGAAACACAAGCTGTTGTTAATGCTTTAAACACATTTAGAGGTGAAGTGGATGGGAACATATTGGGCAGCTGAAACTTGGAATTGTCACAGCCGTGTCTTTTGATAGGATGGAGAATTTATATGTGAAAATAAAGAATCTCATGGAATATTCTCAGTTATTCTGCTCATTGCCTATTTCCCTATCTTACTACTCTTTATCTGTGTCCCCTTCAAAGAAAACCAGTTCTCTTCCATTTCCTTATAGACTTTAATGTAAATGGTAAATTGACATAGAGTTTTGGATGAAAATGGAAGGGAATGAGTAGCATCAGTCCCAATATTGTACATAATGCAGATCACTAGTGATAATGTTTATATTCTAGTTGGTGAAATTGTATATGATCTCACTATAAAAGTGTAAATAGAATTAGTTGAGTGGCCAAGAGAAGTAGTGATATAACTTTGCCCTCATTTATGTGCTCTATTGCACAGAGTTGGGTCTAAGATAGTGTTTCTAAGTGGGAAGAGAAGGAAATTCAGAATCATTTTTGGGGGTTTTTCAAAGTGTATATGACCCACATTCTCTCCAGAAGGTTTGACTGTCTACATCTCATCGGTTGAGAATTATTGCTCCAGGATCCACAGTATATTCACTTCTATATCCCCATATGCATTTTCAAGTTTAATTGAATGGTGGGCATACTTATATTTTAGCATCTGAATTAGTTTGCTAGGACTGCCATAACAAAATACCACAGACTGGGTGGCTTAAACAACAGAAATTTATTTTCTCACAATTTTGGCTTCTCTTGAGGCCTCTCTTCATGGCTTGTAGATGGCCACCCTCCTGCTGCCTCTTCAAATGGTCATCCCTCTGTGCACACATGCCCCTGGTGTCTCTTTTGTGTGTCCAAATTCCCCCCTTTTATAAAGGCACCAATCAGATTGGATTGGAGCCTACCTCAATAACCTCTTTGTAACTTAATTACCCATTTAAAGGCTCTATCTCCAAATACAGTCACATTCTGAGGTACTGGGCTTTAAGACTTTAACATATGAATTTTGAAATGACACAATTCAACCCATAAGAGCATCTCTTCCAATTTTAACACATTTCACTGTTTGTTTCCTTTAAAACTGTTATTGATAATTTATTTATTTTGAATAAAAATGA